CCATCTGCTTCTTTCTTATACCAACTGATGACCTCTGTTTTACGCATCCTGAACTTATTAAACCCTGATATTCCCCAGGAATCCCATTCCCAGATATTTACTCAGTTGAAATGAAAACTTGAACCTGTGTGTAAACAGGTACGGCGGCCTTGTCTGTAGTTGCCCAAACTGGAACGTTATGCAGCTGTCCCTCAGCCGGAGGATGGAGCACCGACCGCGCATGCGCAGCACGGCGTGCGCTCCCTCATTTAGCTCATTTAGGTTCACCTGTTTTTCCGCAGGTTTGGGGTCAGGATTTGCAGTGTGGGTGGGAATGTCACACAAGTGTTTTCTTCTAAGTGCATCGTATCTGGAGGCACATGATGTCCTTTACGTTCGATCTTCTGGCTAAGGCGATATCTGCTCGGTTCTCTACTGTAAAATTCCTCTTTTCCTCTCTGTAATTAATGAGTAATTTTTATGTGTGTGGAGAGACACTTTGAGACACTGTGAATAACTTGTTTCGCTAGTTTAGCATCCGCTGGTGATTCTTGCCTGCATCGCTTATTTCCCTGAAGAGTGGCAAGTAGAGATTGTTTAATCCTATCATGCTTTCTTTTATTAGGTGACAATTTCTTGTAAAGAACATAGCTTCCCCCTTTTTCACCATTTATTAATTTACATCTTTATGGACTCATGGCTTCTTAGTTTATTCAGCGGTTGTAATGTTACTCTCAAGTTGTTCCAAACGTGGCCAGTGGGAAGCCACTCCAGCTGGCTCGGTGTCCTTTTGACACGTCCACAGTTCTGCATGCACTGCCGCATTTCCTGGCACGAGATGTTTCGGGCTTCTCTTATACTTCCCCGGCCCTCACCCTGTCATCAGCCATTTCTCCCCAGAGCCCTGACCCCTGTGAGTGGAAAATGGCGTTTAGAAACCGACATGGTGCTAGATGGATTGGGTGGTTTCCACTCTGAACTCTAGAATCGTTCATCATTCCTTCAAAGACCTCCTAGTTGTCTTAGAAGCTCTTAAACTCTTACTCATGCTGACCCAGAAATGTGTGAATGGATTATCGAAACTGGGTCTTTCTACTTAATTTCTTTTGTCCTGTTTGATATGGAAACCTTGCTCGATTATGGGAAATACTGGATAACTCAGCCAGTTCAATGGAGACG